AATATTAATAAATTTTGTTTTATATCTGATATCCACTATCATTTATTTTTGCTTTTCCTTTGTGTTTCAGGATGTTGAACATTATAAATGATTCCTGAATGTTTATTATTGAATGATATTAAGAAGTGGATAAGGGCTGGGGAGGTAGCCCCATGGTAGAACATTGCCCTAGCATGGGTAAGGTCCTGTGTTTGATCCTCAGCACAACAAAATGAACTTTGACATCAGGGAGGAGAATTGGTGATTACTGTTGAAAAGAATCTCCAATTTGTGATGCTGGTAGAATCTGGTTGTAAATATATATTGAGTGTAAATCTTAAAAAAAAAAAAAAAAAAGCTAGGGAAATTTTTACCCTCAGAAACAAATTTAAGTTTTTCTTTTATTTCTGACTAACCCAGTCTGGGATAAATGATGTGTTAATTAGAGACAGGGGCTAGATAAAATTACTGGGGGATGGGAGCTGTTCTATTAATTGGGCAACCTTGACTGTGGCTCTCAAAGGGAATTGGCTACCTAAATGGGTGCCCTCCACTGACCAGGCCAACATAAACATGGCTGGGAACACGGCAGTGTTTTTATGGTCCTCAGTCCCTAGAGACGCTGTTTTACTGGGAAAGACATTCTCATTATAGTGACCACTTGCCTGAGACTCCCAATTTCAGAGGCCTCTCACAGCACAGGCTGCCTCGGGCCATCTCTGTGAGCTGACTCAGCCTCCCAGGCACCCAGAAATCCTCTTACCAGGAAACCCTTCCAGAAAATGGGAGCAGACATGCACTCTCCCAGGACCCTGGTCTGTGTGAAAGAGGAGTAAGCAGTGGCCATTACTTCTTCCATAAGATTGCCACTTTCTGCAATGCAAACACATTTTCCTGGGAAAACTTTAGGAATTGGTCTTCTTATTAGCTTCTTCCTCCAGTGCACAAATCAGTCCTTTCAATTCTATTTGAAACTCATCTCTCTCACTCGCTGTGCTCTCCTCTTTTTTCCCAACCCCCAACCTTAGTCCTGGTGCTGGTGAGAGATAGATGATAGATAAGATGAGATGATAAGATAAGACAGGACAAGACAAGACAGAATTCAGTTCTTAAATTCTAAGCTCCCTGCTTATGTCATCAAGTGAGTTCTTTGAATATTTTAAGAAAATCTGTGTAGCTTTCTTGTCACAGTTCCAATGCTCATTCATAGCCCTTTGACATCCCTGAGAGGCTGAGATTTTTGCCTGCTCCAAGGTAATAATAATAAGTATTTTTTGAGTTCATACTATGTGCTAAATACTGTGCTAAGTAAGTATTATCCATGGGTTATTGCACATAATTCTCACAAAAGCACTGAGAGGTAGATACCTCTTTCTTTCTTAGAAACGAGGGAAACAAGTCTCACAGAGAGTGAATTGACAGGGTGAGTCACAGAACATCTGCTCTTTCTATTGCCCCAAGCTTCCTTTTAGAGAGTCTATGAATATCTCCCAGGTGGAAAATCCCAGTCTCTGGGAGCAACGTTGAAGTTTAGAAACAACCATAATTGGCAGGAACAGCGGGTAGGAGATCAAGTTGAGAAATGCCATATTTGGGCAAATAGCAGGTGTAACCACAGGGAAGAGGGCTGGCTCTTTCTCCTGTGGGCCAGGGGGCAGTTCCAAGGAGGCCTAGGAGTGTCAGTCTTGCAGGGCCTTGGAATTATCTGGGGATTCTTAATGGTATTCAGAATATATCATATACATTCTTATATATATCATATATATATAAATGGGGCTGGGAATTAGAGATTATCTGATTCAGGCACCATATTAATCCAAAGACATTGTATAAATTACATAAAATCACCCATGGAGTGGCAGAACAGAAAGATAGCTCAGAGCTCACAAACCCCATCTCACAGCTCCTCATGCAGAGTCCAGGGTAGGCTAAGCTTCTGTCCCTCTCCAGATCTCTCTGGTCCTGTTCCAAGGGCACACAATATGGGGTAGGAGAGTAGGTAGTTCTTCAAAAGCAACTGGATTCAAGGTCTGAGAGTCACAATACTGTATTGTATATTTAAAAATCTGTCAAGAGAGTAGATCTTATGTTAAATGCTCTTACCACAGAAGGAAAACGACGAGGATGATGAAGGGAGCAGGAGGAAACTTGGAGGTGATAAATTTACTGTGTTGATTGTGGGGATAGTTTCAGGAGTGTGGGCTCATATCCAAATGCATGAAGTTGTATACATTAAATCTCTACAGCTTTTCGTATGTCAATCCATGCCTGCCTGATGAGGCTACAGTCTCAGCCAGTGCTATAATAAAGTGTGAAAGAGAAGACTCCAATATCAAAAAGACCTGGCTTCAAGTCTGGACTCTGCATTTTACTACTGAGTGACTTTGAAAAAATTATAATTCCTTTGTGCCTTAACTTACTAGTTGGCTATAGGAGTAAGAAGTGATGGACAAATGCTCTCACTTTCCTTTTAGATAGACATTTCCCTAACACATCTTTTTTCTTTACAGAAGTCCTGAGAGAGCCAAGTACCCACTGTTCAGGGCTACAACCTTGGTAATAGGTTTAGAAGATGTGAGTCCATGTAGAGTTGGTGATCAGTCTGTCCTTGGTCTTGAGACACATGATTTGGACATACTAACATTACAAAACTTTGAGCTTGAATAGATAGCTTGTGATGTCTATTGAATATTGAATTTGCACAGTTAATCTGTTTTATGTTTGACATGACATAGTACAGATGGCTTCTCTTTCAATTTTCAGTTCTCCTTTCATGGCTTGGCTGGCCACAAGGATGATCTTTTTCCTTTTTTCAATTCATATATCTCTTTTATTCAGGGTTTTTCAGAGAAGTAGAACTCATAGGATGGATGGATAAACAGACAGAAACAGAAACAGAGAAATGGAGAGAGAAAGAGAGGCTTATGTTGAGGAACTGGCTTACATGTTCATGGAGGCTAGTAAATCCCAAACCTGTAGGGTGGGCAGACAGATTCAAGGAAGTGTCAGCACTACAGTTTAAAGGTTACGGCTGTGTCTGCTGCAGAATTCCCTATTGCCTAGAGGAGATCCATCTTCTGTCTCCGAGGACCCTCAACTGATTGGATGTGGTACACCCACATTATGGAGGGTGATCTGCTTACCTCAAAGTCCATCAATTTACATGTTAATGACATCCAAAAACATTCTCATGGAAATAACTAAAAATGCATCTGACCAAAATGTCTGACTCTATGACCTTGGCAAGCTGTTACACAACATTCACCATCACAAGGTCATATGATTGTCCCATACACGTAATCACTGCTTAAATATTTGAGTTAGAAAAAACTTGCTAACTTATTACCTAATATTAGTGGATGGATATATAAAATGAACTTGGAATTTTTCTCTATTTCTGTATTTTTACCTCAGAAATGAAGCTTATTATAAAGTTATAGGCAGAAAAAATGAGCTGAGAACGTGGGTGATTTGCCCAAGTATACACAGTAACAGGAACACTTTCTGTCCCCCTTTTATTGATTTGTTTTTAGGCTATATGCAGATATAAATATATTTAGTGTCCTTCATGATGGGATTTGAAGCCTGGAAATATTCCTACTGAAATCATGGGCCAATTACAACATTAGTAGTCCTGCTATTAAAACTTTGTTACTTTGGAATAAATACCATCCTTTCAGAAATAATATTTTCCTCAATCCAATAAAGCCAAAATAAAATTATTTCAATATGTTCTTGACATAAAATTAATAATGAAATATTTTCCATTAAGTTTTGAAGATTTTTTATTGTGGTAAAATATAGATAATATAAAATTCACCATTTAAGTAATTGAGCATACAATTCAAAAGCATCAAGTATATTAACACTGCTTTGCAACCATCACCACTATCCATTTCCAGAGCTTTTTAACATCTCAAACTGAAACTCTGTAACTTCCCAAGCTCACATAGGCCTAGCAATTGTATTCATTCCAGTTTCAACTACTCATTAGAGTTTCTAATCCATACAATGAGAATATTCTACCTTGAAATAAAATGCATTTAACATCTTTACAGTTCTGCAAACAATACATGTCAGGGACCCTTGTACTGATGGAAAAGACTGGAGACTCTCACATATTTCCAAATATCAATTTATAGGATTCTATAAAAATAAAGTATCAAGCATAACAAAATTTAAATTTTTTTCTGACACCTATATTAAAACTCAGTATCATTTAAAATATTGGACAGATACAGGACACACTAAAAAAGGGAAGACATGATCCAAGAGATATAAGATATGAATGAGACAAATAGACAAAACCATTCTCCTTTAGCCTGGAAAAAAGTAAGCTATCAGATCATGGCTACTAAACATGAAGCGTGAACTAACCTGGTTCTGTCACCCTCAACCAGGACAGGGTTATCTCTCAGGCACAAAAAACAAAGATAACCATCTTAGTACATAGCAGAGAGAAAACAGGGTTTGCACAGGCAGAGGAAATAAATGGCAGATGTTAAACAGGAAGCAATATAAATGGCAGTTAAGTAACTGGATTCAATTATCAAATTTAATTTCAAACCTTGGCACAGCACACAAAAGCTACGTGATTAGTTAAGTCACTTTGCTATTATAAGCTTCATTTCTATCACCTGTAATGAGTAGACAAAAATGGTACCAACCCCATAAAGCTGTGAGGATCACAAAAAAGCTATAAAGCACTTATCATAGTGACTGGAACATTGTAAGAACACAAGATAAGTGCATAAACACTATTATTAAGGGCTTGGATAAATTCCCAGGTAGTACATTATAAACCAACAGTGGGGACTGTGGCAAGCCCTGGCTTCCATAAATTGTCAGTTTAATTTCCCACATTAAAAAAAAAAACTGTACATGTCAACTAAACAATAACTACATGACAAAAAGTTTAAAAAGCAGGAATAAAACTAAATCATCAATCATTTGTATACATTTCCTCTAAGGCATAGGCTGTTTTTCAACCTAGTTTCAATCAAATATCCTTATTATTTTAGTTAATATTACAATGTTTCATTTTTATAGTCTTTTAACCAGATAATATTCCATTAATATGGATTATCCTACTTATTATTCCATGAAGCGACTAGACTGTAGTTTACTATTCCAGCTGGAGAAAAGCACTGATATGTTTACAGGCAACTAGAATTAAATTAGTGTTATGAAATAATTATATTAAACCAGTAAGGATAAGGGGAATTAGGATGGCAAGGGTCACCTATGTTCCACAGCTTGAATGTCCTTGTCACAACTGATCTTGAGCATAGCCAGCACCCGTGTTCTGATCTGCTTGGTCTTGGCACCGTAGATGATGGGATTGATTACAGGAGGCAGCAGCAGGTAGACATCCCCCATGAGAACATGCACGATTGGATCAAGGCTGTTTCCAAAGCGGTGCACCACCGAGAGGCCGATGAGTGGCACATAGAAGGCCAGGACCACACCAATGTGTGATACACAGGTCCCAAAGGCTTTGGCCCTTTCTGACTTGGACGGCAGTTGCAGAACTGTTCGTATAATCAGAAAGTAGGACAAGGAGATGAACATGACATCCACGCCCATGACCAGGAGAATGGCAGTAAGACCGTAGACCATATTGGGCAATGTGTCTGCATAGGCCAACTTCATCATATCCTGGTGCACACAGTAGGAGTGTGAGAGCACATTGGAGTGGCAGAAGGCCAGCCGCTTGATGAGTAGTGGCAGTGGGAAAAAGAAGAGGGATCCGCGGATCACAGCCACCATGCCAATCTGGGCTGTTACTGTATTATTGAGCACTGCAGCATGGCGCAGTGGGTGACAGATGGCCACATAACGGTCAAAGGCCATGGCCAGTAGGATGGTGGATTCAATGGCTGAGAGAGCATGAATGAAGAACATCTGGACAAGGCAGGCATCAAAAGAAATCTCCCGGGAGTCAAACCAGAAGAGGGCAAGGATCTTGGGCATGGTGGATGTGGACAAGGCCAGGTCAATGGCTGCCAGCATGCAGAGAAAGAGGTACATGGGAGCATGCAGTCTGCGCTCTGTTCTTACAATAAAGACTACAATGCAGTTTCCAAACAAGGCCACGGCGTACATTGAAAGCAGGGGGAAGCCGAACCAGAAATGGGCTTCCTCTAGTCCTGGGATACCAATAAGTACAAAGGTGGCATGTGTGAAGTTGCAGGAACTCATAGCTGGCACTGAGGAGGGGGAACTGCAGAGGTCCCACTGGCAGCCTGTTAAGACATAAGCACAATCAGAGAGTCCCCTGGAAACCTGGGAGTGAGTACTTCTAGCTTTCCTTCCCTCCTGTTCCCCACCACCACTTAAGCTCTTTTATAAGCTCCAAGTCCCTCTTTTCCAAAGGAAGGACTGTGACAGCTCAAATTCTTTGATTATTCACTGCCCTCCAGGTAGATTTAAATTTTTGAAAGGGGACTCAGGGAGACACATGATTATCCCCAAATGAAGAATTCCCAATTTTTTCTCAGGTTTTTCCTCTGGCCCATACCTTCATTGTCTGAGAAGGAGGTGGCTTTTTTTTTTTTTTTTTTTAAATTAGGTACACTCCTTTTAGGTAAACCTATCTTCTTTCCCTCCCTCTCTCTGCCTCTCCCTCCATTCTTTTGTTCCCTCTCTCCCTTCCTTATATTTATTTTGTATTGCATAAGCATTTCTTGTATGGTATATTATTCAGCTTTTTGTTACTGGGACAAAATAACCTGAGAAAAACAATTTAAAGGAGGAGACATTTATTTTGGCTTATGGCATCAGAAGTTTCAGTTCATGGTCAACTGACTTTTTTGCTGTGGGCTTACAGCGAGGCAGGAAATCATGGCAGAGAGGGTGTAGTGGAGTAGAGTTTCTCATCTCATGGTGATTGGAAAGCAAAGAGAGAGAGAGAGAGAGAGAGAGAGAGAGAGAGAGAGAGAGAGAGAGAGAGAAAGAGAGAGAGGGGGGGAGAGAGAGAGAAAGAGAGAGATAGATAGATAGATAGATAGAGAGAGAGAGAGAGAAGAGCAAAGGATAAGACCTACTACTCTTCCAGGGCATTCACCCTCAGTGACCAACGTCCTTATAATCCAATCATTTCCTAAAAGCCTCACCTTTAAACAGTGCTTCATTGAGAACCAAGGCTTCAACACATGGTTATGTTGATTTAGAGATGAAAAACATTTTCCTTGCCTTCTACATGGCTTGCTTAGGGTGGAAGACAGACAAACAATCAATGAATTTGAGTATTATGATAAATGCTAGCATAAGGTACACATTTAATGCATTGGAGGGGGAGAGGCATGGTCAGAGGAACCTTCCTGGAAAAATGATTCTTTTGTTCAGTCTTGAAACATGAGAGAAAGTTAGAGAAGGGAGTAAAAGCAAGGCAGTGGGGATAGGAAACACCACAGGTTTTCTAGGTAAATAGTTGGTCCTTAGTTCTAAGATCAGCAAGTGGGAAAACAAATGCAATTGCAATGGAAAAATAAGAAAAAGAAAACAAACCACAGGTAAGAGAAAAAGGCCCAAAGTCAATCTCTTAAGAAAAAAACAAAACTCATCTGGAATTGTAAAATCAAAGGTAGTTACTTCCTGTGATAACTTCTTCACCCCAAGGTCACCTCCAGCAGATCCTAGAATATTCCCTGTGCAGACTCTTCACTCTGCTCCTGGCTGTTAGATACCACCCAACCTGAAAGGTGCCTCTAAGCCATTCCCACTTCCCCCAAAGAGAGCTTGGTTTGAGTCCTGATTTTGGAAGTCCTGATTTTACAATGATATTTTGAGATCTTTGTCTTTCCTAGAACCTGTCTCAACAAATTGCTCATGTCAAGGATGACATTTCATTTTTGGAAGCTCTATGTTGCTTTGTCCCAACCTCCTACTCCACTCAAACACCTGGGCTCTGACCTTATTAATCTTTTTCTCTGCTACATTCCTTTAGTACCAGCCCTTAAGAGGTAATTGTCTCTAAAAAGCCATTTTAGAAGGATGCTCTGACTCTTGGAAATCAATTCTTCAGGTGTTTCCACTGACAGTATTCAGGTTTTCATGTGATCCCTCGCAGGATTTTTTATGTCTAACCTGGGTTTTTATTGCAGCTGGGAGATACCCTTCAATACGCCTTAATGGAGAGGGGTTTAGAGACCAGTAGTCTTAAAATATGATATGATAAAGTGAGTACTAACAGCTTTGAATTGGATTCTCCCCATCTTGGATGAGCAAGGGCAAACAGATCCAGGGTTCACGTCTATTTTCTCTTCTCCATGTTTAGAATTTGTACAGAGGCACAATAGCTTCTCTTTCTAGACAAATATCAAATACCAATTATTCTACCAGTGCTATTGAAACACAAAGAGCACTTTTCAGAGGCAAACAATTATATTCTTCAGGGAGACAGAAGAGCTGGTATCTTGGATCCATCCATCTATGTCTCCATCATAAAGAACTTGTGGAGGGAGGTAGTAATTCAAACAAATCATGCTGAACAATGTGGGACAGAGCTAAGGAACCTTTCCTGGAGAAAGGCCAGGTCACTAGGCCACTGTCCCCAAGAGCAATGGGGCCCAGGGTGAAGAGTAGTCCATCATGGAGGGGTATCAAGGAGAGCATGATATTTCCCTGTGCTGACAGATGCAGGGCCTCTGCTGGCCACAGGATCCTGTACTTCCTTAACCCCTCTCTTCACAGAACACCTTTTCTGCTTTGCTGGTACATGTACTTCCTTACTGAATTCCAGAAACTCTGGCCAATCATCTTGTCTCCCAATGTCCCTATCCAAGAAGACCTCATGTTTTCTGGCTTCCTGCCTGAAGTGTCTCCTTGCTATACCCAGCTTCAGCTTCTCTTTGGATCTGAATGTGACAGCTAGGTTCATTCTCACCTGCCTTTCTGGACTGGTAGCTAAGGGACTTTTTAAGTCCATGAAGGTGTGGGTGGGTTACAAGTGTTGTCCTATCATGAACCTGTCTGTGGGAGCTTCAAGGTCTGTGAGACTGGCAGGAGCCTCAGTTTGTCAGGCTCCAGGTGAGGATATACTCACCTGAGAATGGTGAGTCCAATTCAGAGAAAGCAGCTGGAGCTGGCCTTCTATTTCTGTAACAGGCTTTTTTTTAATAACGCTCCCTGGAAGGCCCATGGGAACAGGCTGTGGGAGTAGGAGCTGAGGCCCCAGGGACTTGGCAGCAGAGGAATAAAATCTCCATGTCCACTGTGTGCCACTCTCATGGCTTCCCACTGTTTCTTTCTAGGGGGGCAATCTCAAAGGGCTCCTTTCCTCCGCCATTGCCATCACACTGACACACACAGGTCTCTTGACAATGTGGCCTGACTCTTTCAGGCAACCCAAGCTCTCACAGTTAGCCCCAGGGGTAGTGTGTTTCTTCATTAGCCACTCTGCAGGACACGACAGGCAAATGGGTGAACAGTTATGGTCCTTGGGCTCTTGAAATTCACATCTTCTTTATAAACCAAGATGGATACACAAAAAAGAAGCCCTACAATTCAAAATAGGGTCATGCGCATCTCCGTATGTTTCCCCAGTTTCTCTTTCAGTTGAAAAACAGCCTTTGAGGTAGTGAAATCTTTCCTTATTGCACCTGTGTCACAGATAAATGACAGATACAATAAGAACTCTTTGCTGTAGGTTACAGTGTTTACAATGGTTGGAGAAATCTATATGCAGACTTTTCATTCATTCGCATTCAACAAATATTTGTCAAGTGCCTATAATATCATAAGCAAAATAGACAAAAAAATCCCCACCTTATGGAGTGTACATTCTGATGAGGGAGGCAGACAATAAAGAAATTAATACATAAACTAAATAAGATGTTAGGTTTTCATAAGAAGAACAAATATCAGGGAGAAGGGAACAGATAACTATCAGGGGGAAGGAGTTGAACTTCAGATGAAGTTGCCAAGGAAGGCCTAACGTAATGGAGCGATTTGAGGAGAGGCCCAAGAAGTGAGGAATATATCTATGGATATACAGGAAAGACCATTCCAAGAAGAAGGAACAGATATTACAAGTAAAATCCTTGAGGAGGGAGTGTTTCTGGTAGAAAGCCAGTGCTCCTGAGCAGAGAGAATAGGTAGAAAGTAGAAGGGATGAATCGAGGGTTCTGGGAATTGGGACATATTGGGCCTTATAAGGACTTACAGGCCATTTAAGGACTTTCACTTAGCCTTTGAGTGTGCTGAGGGTCTATGTGAAAATTTATAGAAAGATTTATAAAAAAGGATCTGAAGTGAATTAGACTTCAAATTTTATCAGAATGTTTTTCTCTAATTGCCCTCTAGACTCATTTGCCTTGGTATGTCATTGCCCATTCTGATCTTTCTTTCCTCATTTCCTTTTTGTGACTTGTTCATGCTTTGAGCCTTTACGACCTAGCTCCAGCAAGCATCCCCAGGCCCCCTGACCCCCTGATCTTTATCTTCCAATGACATATGCTCTGCATCACACGCAACAGGGTTATCTTTGTACTTTATGTAGTACTTTATCCCCCAGCCTCTCCACACTTAGAGAGCTAAGCACATTAGTCTACACTTATCATTTCACTGCAATCTCTGAAAAGAGGAACAGAAATACTTTCTTATCAATCAGACACCAAGAGTTTCTTATTATTCACCTGTATCTGGCCTTGGAGTTTATTCATTATGTAATAAACATTTCCTTAGTAATATCTTATGTGGGTACCATTGCTGTGCTTAGGTGCTGCAGAGGTAAATAAGATTAAGTCCTTGCTTTAAATGTGTTCACAGATATTGATGCAATCTAAGATGGGATGTATTTACAAATTTAGTTAAGAAAAATGAAAACTTAAATTACATAATTTTCGTCATTCCTCACATCTAATTCTTAAACTAATCTTGTCTAAATTTTCTAATAACCTTTCGAATGTTTGCTTTTATTCTCATTTTTACCCCCACAACTGTGTTCAAGTAGCTGTAACAGTGGCCTATGACTGCTACTGCTCTGGCTTCTGGGTCCCTGCACACTGTGAGCTTGTCCGTCCTGGTTGAAGCATGGCGTTTTCTCTGCAGCTCACCCATTCCGCAAGCATCCAACTTGCTCACTTCTTAGTGATGAAAGCTCACCATTTTCCAGGATTGGATTGCTAGACAGTAGGGCTGCGTACAGGTTAGTGCATAGGAAGGGAGGTGCTGGGGTGGGGGGAAATCTGTGGAAGTGGTGTGAACAATCAGATGTTTGGTTCTTGAGAATGAAATTCCTTCTTTTTCTCCTTTTTTTTAGGACTCTGAGTACCTCAATGCTTCTCCAGACCACATCATTCCTTTTCCTTCTCCACTTTCTCCACACCCCACTTTATGTATTGTGTGGAAACAATTAAACAAAAATCTAGTGTCTCATCCTATGTCATTTGAGCTCTTCTACTTTCCATCCTGGACCTTCTATAGCTTTTTGGGGTGTGTGTAATGAGGATGATCTATAGGGTACAGGTGAGGGAATAGAAAAGGATAGAAATAAACAGAAACTGGCTATTGATTCAAAATATAAATCACCTCTTTAAAATGGCCTTCTCACTTTTATGTTTTTATCAGCACTCATTAATGACTAGATAAGGTGTGTTGGAGAGAGGAAGAACTAAGGCTGTATGGCATGAGGGCAAGCTTACATGAAGCTACATGAATCATGGTGAAACTTTCATATTGAAGGGGGCATCTCCTACTGTCACCTTCAAAATATGGAGCTCCATGAAAATTTATCTGTAGACACTAAGAATAATTTTCTGATATTGGAGAGATTTGTTATCTTCTTGTGTGCCCTCCAAAACCTTATGCTCCTTTTAAGATGTAGTTTGTTTATTCATTAATCCAACCAAGATTAAAAGCTACTGTGGGACCGTCACTGTGGATAGAAATGTAGGAACAACAATGACTATGACACAGTTCCTTGTCTTGAAAAGTGAGCTCAGAGCCTGCTGTGGGAAGAAAGGATACTGGAGAGTCTGAAGAGGATTGTCAAGAAGCACAAAGTGTTACAGGGGTACCTGGGAGGACACCATGAAGACAGAAGGGGTCAGTAAAGGCTTTGAAATAGGATCACCTCTCCTGTAAATCAGAGGGAAGGAGACAGAGTGCTATCGGTAGAGGTAACAGTTTGTGCAAAGGCTTGAAGGTGACAGCAGTCACTCAGGATTAAGGAAATGCAGGGTGTTCATTGTGCCTGGAGCATTATGCAGAGGAGAAGCAGTGAAACTTGAGAGGTCAATAGAGTCAGTCATTGAAACATATTATTATTTTTACTATGTGGCAAATCCTTGGAAGATAGCATGTATGAAATAATTCCTTATCCTTAACAAACCTTATTTCTGATGAGGAAACCAGAAAAAAACCATATATTAATATTAACATGTTGGTCTGTAAAAGTGCTAAAAATTAAAAATAGCAGGTAAGAATGAGAGTGGATACAAGGCATGAATTGAGGGAAAGGTGGTGGTGTTATTATTTTCATACCATCAAGAATCCTGCAATAAGGCACTCGAACAGGGAAGGGACCTGCATGAAGTGAGGAGGTCAGCCATGTGGGTTTATGAGGGAAGAACATTCCAGGCAGGGAGAATAGTAAGTGTGAAATGTGATGATGAAACCTGCTTGATGAACTAAAAAAAAAATTCAGATTAGTGTGGGTATAGTAGGATTAGTCAAGTAACAGGGGATGGAGTTGGTTGGGATGGTGGGGGAAGTCAGATCAGACAGATTGCTCATGAACTATTACTGTGAATTTTCCACAGATAAAACAAGAGGCCACTGGAACATGCTGAACAGAGAAAGTAACAAGATCTGCCTGTGTATTAAAACAAGCACTCTGTATGATTGCTATTAAACCCCATGCTGCTGTGAGGGGAAATGGGTTATCCAGCAAGGATGGATGAAAGAAGACCCTCTATGAAGCTATACACAAATGACTTCAGGTCCAAGATGATGGCTGGCATTGTGATGGTAGCAGTAGAGGTGATGTAAGGGGGTGAATTCTTGACTTGCTGATAGGTTGGTTTTAGAATAAAAGTGAAAGAGAGGCATTAGGGTAATTCTTGGTTAGGGACGACTGGATGAGCCTGTGTTTTCCTTGATGGGAATAGTAGGATTTTGTACATGTTGAGTCTAAGAATTTTGAGACATTTTAGTATAGATATTGATGCATAGGCAATTGGGTGAGTGTGGAGTATAAATACTAACTTGGGTTTTGTCAGGATATGGGTGATATTTAAAGTCATGATGTTAGGTGAAATGGGAGTAGGACAAAGGGAAAAGAAAAAGGTCTGAGGAAAAAATACCAAGGTATTCTAACGTATGAAAATGAAGACTAATGACAACCAAGATGAAAATATTATTGTACACATGTTGAGAATTCTTACATCACCCTTATTATTAAGTAGCCAGTACTGTAGTCACTTTATAAATTCCCTGTAAATATGAATGAATACTTCTGTTTTCTATCTGGACCTGATATCAGCTCTAGAGCCCAACTTACCTGAGTGATATCAAGGGGGAGAAATTCTAGACTTAAGGCTTAGAATGTTCATGATGCCCATGTCATTGAAGTATCTGCTTTAAAAACTTGAGAATTAGTGTAAATACACAGGGTACAGATGACTAACATTCTAGAGTAAGCTGTCACATGACATGACACAGATTTGAACATTTCTAAGTAAATGATGCAAATTTTAGTTATTTTGCAATTTATGGTCATTTCAAGTGAATTGATGGAGGGCTGAGAGAAATTTCAGTATATGTTTCAGTCAGGAAAGATCATCAGATAGGACATACTTGTAAGGTCTGAAGATTTTGATTTGAGTGTTTTCTTCCTAATTTGGTTGAAAATTTCTGGAGGACAGAGGTGTATATTTCTTAAAAACTTATTTGTATTTTTACTTCTTTATGTCCTCCAGCACAAATCATATGGACTGATGTACTTGTACATATACTAATTATATATACATATATATTATATTACACTATCGGTAGCAGTATAACACTTAATTTAAGAGTGTGGGGACCCTGGAGTCAGATTGCATGGGTATGCTCTGCCACTTACTAGATGTTTAAGCCAGCTACTTAATATTTTATGACTCAAATTTCTCGTTAGTAATGGAATAATGTGGATTTGGAAAAAAAATATTTTAATTGATGTAAAAATACTTAAGACTCATAACCTGTCAAGGGAAATAATAAATATTAGTTTAAATTATTAGTATAGTTGGAGAACATTATCTACTTTTCACAAAGGAGGGACTTCTTCGTGTGCATTCTAACTTCTATGAGGTGGCTGAGGCAAGAGTAAAATGGCTGTCGAAAGGGATCAAAGACAACATTGGTTTGAAGAAAAAGTGGTAAGGGGGAGAAATTCTAGACTTAAGGCTAATAATGTTCATGCTTCCCATTTGTATATCTATTCCTCCTCATCTATAAACTAGGAAGGTTAGAATAGCTGATGTTCTAGAAAACATTCCAGCTTTAACTTTAAATAATTGTATATTCAGTTTCAATGAGCAACAGATTTTGTTTTTATTTCTTAATTGATAACATGGCTGGAGGTAGAAGGATCCATCTATCTCTAGACTACTACGATTCTATGTTTCTTTAGAATGGAGAATTTTTATCACAGCTCTACGTATCTGTTTGGTCTTCACACTGTAGATAATGGGGTTCATTACAGGAGGGATCAGCAGGTAGGTGTTAGCGATCATGGTATGTACATATGGCGGGGCTCCTTTTCCAAATCTGTGCACAAAGGACAGACTGATCAATGGAATATAGAATATAGCCACAGCCCCAATATGGGAGACACATGTACTAAAGGCTTTCCTCCTCTCTTCAGGGGAAGCAATGCTGAGGACAGTCCTAATTATCAAAACATAGGAAAGGAGGATGAGGACTGAGTCCACACCAACAGTAGAAATCATGGCAGTCAATCCAACTGCACTGTTGATCCTGGTGTCTGTGCATGAGAGCTTCATCACATCAGGGTGGAAGCAGTAGGAGTGGTGGAGCATGTGGCTGTTGCAGAAGGACAATCTTTTAAGAAGTGCTACCATTGGTGTCAACATTAGGGTTCCCCTGATGACAATTGCCACTCCAATTTGAGCTATTCTATAGTAGGTTAAAATAGTGGCATACCTAAGGGGATTAGAGATGGCCACAAAACGATCAAAAGCCATAGCCAACAGTACTGAAGATTCCATGACAGTGAAGAGTTTGATAAAGAACATCTGTGACAAGCAGGCATTGAAGCTGATCTCCCTGGCATTAAACCAGAATATGCCCAGCATGGTGACCAGAGTGGATATGGACAGCCCAAGGTCTGTGGTGGACAGCATGGACAGGAAATAATACATGGGTTCATGGAGACTGGGCTGCGTGACAATGACAAAGAGAATCAGGCTGTTCCCTGAGAGGGCAGTTGCATAGAGAATGCAGAAGGGAATGGAGATCCAGGTGTGGAAGGCTTCCAGCCCAGGAACACCAGTAAGCAGGAAAATGATGGAAGAGGATGTGAAGTTCTGGAAACTTGACATACTGGATTAAAAGTACACAGAACAAGTCTGAAACAAAAAAGCTACATTAGGATTATTTCTAATTATAAATATTCAAACAGAAAACTGACCAAAGATGAATATCTATATAATATATAAAAATATGAATGGATCACTTAAATTGATAAAAATGACATGTAAGATTTCAACCACTGGGGTAGATATCCTAAAAATATTTGCCTCAGCCCACAATTTTCCTTCTCTGGGGCTCTTTGCTGTTAGCTATATTTATCTCATGTGACCTCTCTTCCACTGTTATAGCTGTAGATGACTGGACTAAAAATAGACACTTTATCCTAGATTGCCAAATCATATTTCATTCTTCTTGGGATTTTTTGTAAGAAAGAGGTAGCCATTTAATTTTTTTCTATATAGTTGGCACCAGAGAAAAATAGACTGGGAATGTGGAGTAAATGGTAATTAGCTGTAAGTATGGAAAGCAGAGACACTTACAGACAATATTGGAAGCCAGAAATTATAGATAAAGAGATAATTATTACAGAAAGTAACATATGTGAAATGACAAATAAACAAACTAGAAACTAGGGCAGTCATGCACTTGCCTGCAGCATCCAATCATTAAAGGGGCCCTTACGCCACAGCACCTGCCATCACATTTGGAAGAAACAGAGAGGAAGAACACAGACCTACCACTAGACTTAGAGAATGCTGCTCTTCACCTGGCATAATGGGCTGCCACGTTCAAGTATATATCTGTCTTGTTTATGCCTGAAGACTTGTTCTCCAGAACAGATGTTCTCCATTTTGTTAAGACACAGGAGATACCTAATAGAATGTCATTGTTTTGTTTTGAAGGGAAAGATACAACTTTGTTGATAACATCACAATTCTTTCTTTATTGAGTAGAGAGTTGGTGACTAGGAAGAGAGATATGTATGTGAGTTTAAAATAGGGACAAATGGGAAAAATAGAGAGATTATGGCTTTGTCTGGAGAAGGTTCAATCAATGAAAGAGCAATTTTAGGATAGGTTCTTCAGAGGGAAAAAAGGTACTGAGCAGCTGACAGCAAGTGTAAGATAAAAAGGGGAATGAAAGGATCCCAAATTTCCAGACCCCAAGAACTCACCCAGAAAAAGTGTTAACTTAAAGATCACCTGAAGAAACTTTATTAAAAAAATGAAAAAAATTAGCTAAAATTATCAGAAAATTAGAGGGAAAAAAGAAGTGTGTTATATAAGCTGACCAAATAAGTAAACTATAAGTTTATGTTCTGATATTGACAGTAATGAGTGTCTTCAGGGGAGTGATGATGTAATGTCTTAAACGTATAATGGAACTTCACAACAGGAAGAGAATTTAATAACAATGCATTGTTTACTTCAAAGCTACTAGAGATAGGATTTTAACTGTTGTCATCACAAAGAAATAATAAATATTTGAAGTTAAGGATATGCTAATTAGCCTGATTTGACCATTGCAAAAGGTATACATGTATGGAAATACCACATTGTGTCCCATAAATATACACAGTATTATCGGTCAGTTAGAAGTAAAATAATTTTATAAACTAAAAGAGACAAACATAAAGTGAACATTCAATAGGTTTGTAGAATTTGGAGAAGCCTTTCTAGAAAAGGTGTTGCTAATAAAATAAAACAGAATCACTGGAGTAGATGAAGGGAATTGAAGGAGAGGGAGGAGGGATGGAATAAAGAAAGACAGTGGAATTAATCTGACCTAAGTTTTCTGTGCACACATATGAATATACCACAGCAAATCTCATCATCATGCACATCCACAAGACACTAATTAAAAAACAAAACAAAACTATGTGTAAATAGCAGAAAGATGGATAGAGGGACGGGAACTGAGGGAGGAGATAGGGAAGAAAAGGGAAGTACTGGGGACTGAATTAGAGCAAATTACATTCCGTGCTTTTGTGATTATGTCAGAATGAATCCTAATGTTATGTATCACTAAAAAGAATCAACCATTTCTGCGTGCTGTCTCAATTGAGATGAAGAGTTACAAGTCCTTTAGAATGCAATATGTAAAAATGTTGAGCAGGAATGCTCTCATGAAATTTCTTACCTTGATCTTCCCTTTCACTCTCAGGACATTTACTGAGTACCTATTTTTGCATAGTGCTGTTAAAAGTTAAGGAACAAAATAAATAAAAATCCCTTAAAAGAGTTTATAATCAAGTAAGTGAGAAAGATAAGTACTGCTTCTTAATAACTTCAATATCTAGTGTATAAGATAAATATTAAAATGGTTATGGAAGTACAGAGGACTTTCTGTACATACCAATTAACTCTGGATATCATCACTTTTATTTCATATGCAATGATTGAGTTCCAATTTTCATCATTGAGTTCTAAAATCCTATTAAAAAACACTTTAAAAAATTAAACTGCTGCCTGAACAATTTATTTTTCACCCTAACCTTTTAATGGCTCTCTTTATATTGTTTCAATAATTCATTATTTGTTGCCCATTTCATTCTTTTTCCTTCCTTTTCTTGCTGAGAGATCATAAACCAAACCTGACACCAAACCACAGAGCACAGTTTGATCTGGTCTGTCTTCAAGTCCTCTCCTTTTCATGGCTCTTCAACCATATCTTCCTGCATTCTGTCCTCATCCATGCTGGGTTCAGAGACAGGTGATTGATTGCATGTTCCTTCTCACGGCCAATAGCTCTACTTAGCCTCCTATCATAAATGTTAGCTCAGTTCAATAGCAAACACACATTGGGCATCCACTGAATCTTGTGTCAGCCACTAAAAAAGAGGAAGCAAGTGAAATAACAGAGGTTTTGTGCCCATGGAAGCCATGGCGTTTGTCAAGGGCTGAAAAACCCAGGCTTAGAAGGGTGAATTATATTATTATTATTATTATTATTATTATTATTATATCTTCTTATAATATCTTATTATGTTTATTAAGAATCTGGTGATTATTATAAAAATGAAAATTGATTTTGAACACCTGCTGCATGTCAGACACTGTATTAGGGACAGTGCTTTTCAAAGGAATAAGAGACAAAGAAAGAAAGTCACTAGCTATAGATTGCACAAAGATATCAGATATCTGAGAGATAAGGCCTGGAAATTGTGTGGAGTGACAGATTCGGAGTATGTGTGTCTACTTCTGTGTGTCAAGAAGAATAAGTTCCAAGAAATCTGAACAGAGTAGATGAATTGTAACTGTGTAAAGTTTTGATGGGTGTATGTGAATTTACAAGGATGAGCAACAGGAAAAGGGTGTTTTTGACGTAGATAACAGGAGCATAGGTAACATGAGATATGAAGGAAAAATAATAGTTATCAGTTTATCATATAACTGCAAGAAAATTAACACGATGGAAACTTAAGCGTGAGGCAGGGTGCTGTGGGTGATGAAGCTAGAGGAATCATCAGGGTCAGGTCATACAACTTGAATTCTGAGGGAAGGAAGAAGGACTTTGATTTTAGTTGCACAACATCAAAAACCAGGCATTTCCAAATATTTTATGAATAAATAAGCAAATCATTCTCCATCTCTTCTAATTTAACTCCAACAAAATTCCTTTCCTTCTTTAGTATTTTGTTTGCTACCATTGATTCCTTTTCTGCAGTCTCCAATACTCAAGTTTTGTCCCAACTCAAAAATGAAAGCTTCCTACACTGTAGTATAGATATTTTCCACACATTCAATTTGATCAGTATATATTGAATAGCCTCATTATTGACCTCTGTGCTTAGATAGCAAAGAATATAAAACACAAATCTTCTTTCTTCTTTGCATTTTTATAATGCTAAAAAGTTATTTGAAGAACAGTCTGCTTTTGTTCATTATTCCTTCACCTTCAGTAACAGAATGTTTTTCTCTAATAACTCTCAGAGACTCCCCCAACTGATGTCACTGATGATTTTATAAATACCAAGTATAATAGTTTATTTTCAGATTTGTTTTTCTTTCCATCATCTCAAATTTTGGCAACGGGGATTACCTCTTCCTTGAAATTTTCTCCTTCAGTGGCTTCAATGCCAGTTGTTCTGGCATTTTTCCTATTTATCAAGCAATGTTTTTGTTCTGTCTCACAAATTGTGGCATCCTTAAAGGGTGCTTTTCTTCCAAGAAGTTCCTCTTCTTTCTCTCCATACAATGTCCTTAGAATATCCTAGTTATTTCCATGGCTTTAAACAGACCTTGCATCCAGATAATTCACAAGTCTGCAATCTAATTATAGCATATCCTGAGATCTATGCTTCAAAAGTTAGCAGACTGTTGTGGCAACATGTCTGGGCTTAAACTGAAGGCAGTAATGAAAAGTGAAAGCAGGCAATCAAATCTTCCAATTAGAGAAATTCTGGCAGCAGTTTGGAGGAAAAAAAATCAGAACTCCTGCTTTTAGTAAATAAAAGGTGAATGAAGTACTTTACCTCTGAGGGACATCCCCATCCATCCACAAACCCTCATGTACTTCACCTTCAATGCAAGCCAAACAGAAATCATTCTCTGCCCCATTCTAAACCCAGCTCTTTCTTCTGTTACATTTTTCAGCAAATGTCATGAAGCTCTAGTAATCATCTAATTAGAATTAGTCTCCACCCACAACATATACACATTCTCTTCCTATTTCTTTCTGTCTCTCATGCCCTACATACAAATATTCATTAATTTATACTGATTCTACTTCTGAAAGGTCAAAAACTGGAGCCTCAGGAGGTCTATATGTAAACACCAAGTCTAGGAAACTGTGGCAAACTGTTGCTGGTATATTTGTTGTATTTCATTGCAATTTTCTTACTTTGAGAAAATAAAGTTGTATTTCATTTCAGTTTTTTTACTTTGGTTAAACAAACAAACAAACAAACAAACCCCAAACTGCTCATAGTAGAGAATAAAAAGGGATTGATGAATATTCATTGAGGGAAGCACTATACTTCTCCCAAGCTACCTTTTTTTTAAAAAAAAAATTCCATCACTCTCAAATCTGACTCATTTTCTCCAATCCACATACACTGAAATTCTCTTTTGTGTGAAATAAGCTATATTATCTCAACTAATTTTCCTATTCGGATCTCAAAGACACTCTTTTCTCATTGCACTGTTAAGCGCTGTAGCTTGTGGCTGTCTTTAGCTGCTAAGTTAGACCATATGGCCTCATCAGTATTCTCTAAAACATCACTGATGGCATGGTTATAGTGTATGACAGTTATAGTGTATAGCTCGTTGCTCAAATACTGACAGGTTTTGAGACCTTGTATAGCAATACAAATCTACATTTTTTTTTGACACTTGGTCAGCAAACATTATTGTGCTTTATAAGATTCTTTTAATTTGTACTAGAACACATATGGCAACTATTAGTAGATTCACTTTAAACTCACTTTTCTGATAAATAAACTGAATTTAAGAGCACTGATAAAAACATATTCAGGATCACACACAACTGGTGAATGTCAGAGCTGGGATTTTTAACTCAGTGCTTTTTAATTCCAATGTTTTCAGGAAAGTTTATTTCACTGATGCCTACAAAAAATGTAAACATCCTTTGATTTAGTTTCTTCATCTATAAGATAGGATAGATACTATGCGTAACAGGTTTCTGGCATGCAGAAGGTATTCCAAACTGCTAATTTTAAAGGTTTAGTAAAAGGCATTGGGCTTAGGAATGAGGCTCACTAATCATGATAAATGTAATAGTGCACTAATTAAATTATCTAACAACAGTATCCAAGCCCTGCCAGGCAGAACAAATTGTCCATTTTCTGCAGATTTCCTGGGAATAAATAACTCTACAAATTGTATCATCTTCTTAATCCCACCAACCTATCATCTGATCTAATTCTGCCCATTGTGATAAAATTCTTCCCTGTGGATAAGAAGGGGCATCTCACCTAGAGTCAGGCATGCTCACTGAACAGTTACTCACAGAGCACATCCAGCAGTTCTGCTGTCCTCTCAGTCTGACTCAGATGCTGGAGGAAGATTCAGATTCCAGAGGATGACTGAACTTATGAGACTTATTTCAGCTTGGTTGGAGAAAGGCATAGAGCTGAGAGGCCAGTTCCCATTGGTGGTGCTAATTCACCGTGTCTCTGGGTTATGGGTTCCCAGAGGACTTGCTTGATACAGTTTTTTTATATTTGTTCCATTATGCAATTATTTATTGTAGCTTCATGATTTATGGGCCGGTATAACTCTTTTTGTACTGGGAATTGAACTCAGGGGCATTTGGCCACTAAGCCACAGTCCCAGCCCCATTTTATATTTTATTTAGTGACAGGGTCTCACTGAGTTGCTTACTGCCTGGCTTTTTGCTGAGTCTGGCTTTGGGCTTGTGATCCTCTGGACTTACCTTCCCGAACTGCTGGGATTATAGGCCTGGCTAATGATGTAACTCTTCTGTTGTGCCATTTTATTTTTAAAAAGTTTTCCTTAACAGCTTTATTGAGATCTAATTAATATGCTGTAAAATTCATCCATTTATAGTGTATAATTTAAAAGATTTTAGCAAAGTCACAGACTTATGCAGCAATCACCTTCCCAATATAATTTTGGAAAAAATTTTAACAACCCCCAAAAGAAACCCCATCATTATTAGCAGTCCTTTAAAAGGGGATGACTTTAAAATATGAAATTTATACCAAATTGCTTAAAAGCATCTCCTATCACGAGTGTGAGTAATACTGTCCCCCATAACTCCTTACCATCTGTCATATTCACAGTAGTACTGGTTCGTTAGTGTGGTATTCTTTTATTACCTGTGATTTTTTTTTATAGTGGCAGCAATCTTTTACAACTAGGAACAATAATTCATTTATTCATGCATGCATATATCCATAGGTATTTTATAAGAGTGTTTTATTATTATAGTTTGAATATGAGGTGTCCCCCAAAAGCTCATATATTAGACAAAGCAGGAATTTTCAGAGGTAAAGTGATTAGGTTGTGAGAGTCTTAACTGAGTCAGTGGATTAATCCACTAACATGGATTAATTGAGTGGTAACTGTGGGAAGGTGGAGGTAATTGGAGGATGTGGGTCACTAGGGGTTTATATTTTGTCCCTGGTGAGGGGAGCTCTCTCTGCTTCCTAAATGCCATGTGATGAGCTGCTTTCCTCCTCCATACCCTTCTGCCATGATGTTCTGCCTCATCTTGGGTTCAGAGCAATGAAGTCAGCAGTCTGTGGTCTGAGACCTCTGAAATTATTCACACCAAATAAACTTTTCCTCTGCTAAAATTGTTATTGTCAGGTTTTTGGTCAGAGTGATGAAAAACTAACTTATATTAAAAAATATATTAAAACATATATTAAAAAACACTTATATTCCAAACATCTTGGTAAATGCTAGAGATTTTTTAAAAAAAGAATACAATATACCTCTTACTGTCCAGGGTTTTAGTGTTAAATATGATCAACTAATGAGTATGTGTTAACCAATGACAGGGCTCTCTTAGAGGCATAAAGCAAGTGCTTGATGAATACCATGGGTCAAAATCTCAGCCCACAACTTAGGGGCACAGAAAATATTGTTTTATTTAATTTTTCTTGATTTGATCTATTTTCTATTTTGAAGTTCCAATCCCTTAGGTAGAAGAAAATTAATCATAATAATGCAGGGTTCTCCCAAATTATTGTGTTCAGTTTTTGAGAATGTTGTATTGTACCAAGGATTTGCTGTTATTTGGCCAGAGATGTCATCTGATATGAGGTAACTCTTGATCTCTGTGTTAGTCAGCTTTGCATCACTTTGCCCCAAAGAAGAACAGCTTGGCTCATGGCTTCAGAGGTCTCAGCTCATAATTGCCAGCTCCACTGCTCTGGGCCTGAGGTGGGGCCAAACTTCAGGTAGAAGTGTGGCCAAGGAAATCTGCTCAGCTCATGATAGCCAGGAAGGACAGAGAAGGAGATGGAGAGAGATAGGGACAAGGAGCGGGAAGAAGGGGCCAGGGAGAAGATAAATCCTTCCAGGGCATGCCCCCAGTGACTAGCTTCAACTAGGTCTCACTTTCCAGAGGTCTATCCAATTATCAATGGATTACTATATTAATTGATGAGGTCACAGCCCTCATGATCCAATCATTACCTAAAAATCTCCCTTTGAACCTTGCTGCATTCGGGCCCAAGACTTCAATATAAGCTTTTCTAGATCCAAACCATAACACCCTCATTAGTCTTTAGTAAATTGTACCCATAGATTGCTATGTATTATCTAGTCTTCATTTTTATTTCTGGCCTTTTTAAATCCTCAGATATTTCCAGCATTTCTACACCCCTCTTGGGCCTGGGGATCTTTGAGTCACACTTGATTTCTGTCTGTTACATCCTGTGTCCAATCTATTGGCAAGTCTTATCAGCCTCTTGGAAAATACAATAAGAATTTGATCATTCTTCATGATGTCCAAAATTTCCACCTTTATCAAGTAAAAAATTTTCTCTTATTCATGTAATTTCAGTAGTTTCCTTATTTTGTTTCCATTCTGATCTCATTTGCCTCACACTAAGTCTGTTGCACTGAATATATAGTACAAAAAAAGTCTTGCCCTGAGGTATTTTATTCTTTACAAAGTAACAAAAAAGAAACAATATCAATCATATTTTATTGTGTATTTTATGTCCAAGTTACTATGCCGAGAGTTTGTGGTAGGCAAAATTATTAGATAGGCAAAAATATTTATTGTTTATTGGAGCAAAATGCTGAGACTCAATAAGATTTATTGCAAGTCCCTACAGCACAGTTTTCTTGTGTTGAATTCTGTCCTTCCTGTTTGGATTACTAAGTTTGGGAAACATTACTTTGAAGTCCAATGAAGTCACAGACTATGATGTGTTTTCCAGATTCAATGGTATTATATTGATATATCCAAGATGTCCACATCCTGAACCTGGAATATGTTAACTTATATGGAAAAAGGGACTTCATAGATGTGATTAAAATTAAAGACTTCAAGATTAGTTGGAGAGATTAGTTGGGCTGTGTGTTTCTTCATTCTAGACACATGAATCCTTAAAATTGGAGAACCAGAGAGATGTCAGTGTGAGAAGGACTTGATTCACTGCTGCTAGATTTGGAAATGGCAAAAGGAGGCCACAAGTCAAGAAATGTGGATAATCTCCAAAAAGACAAATGACAAAGGATTTGTCATTTGTCAATTTTCCCTAGATCCTCTATAAATAAATGAAAATTGCTGGTACCTTGATTTTAGCTCAGTGAGATCCATATCAATTTCTGACCTATACAACTCTAAGATCAATTTGATAGGAAAAATCCACTGTTAGTTTGATTTATGCAGTATCCAAGAATTAGAGAGTTTAAGTAACTTACTTAGGTCTCTCAGTGAGTGGCATAACCAGTATTCAAAGCCTCAGATATTGGACAGCCTTTCAATATTCAAAATTCATTGTTTAAAGTCTTCATATGATGTCCATTCAGCAATACTTTCAAATTTAAGTCACTTAAACTCAATAGCATGCATGTATGCTTATGTGGCAGATTAGATGTTAACAGTCATCACTTGTGTATGCTTAAACTTTTTACATAATGGATTTTTTTCTCCACTATTGTGTCTCCAGACAGTATATTTCTTGAGATCTTTGAAAAACTCTCCTCTGGCAGGTTGGGCAAATTCTACCACCCATCTCAGAAACTATTTGAGAATGGTCTCATTTATTCTTTCCCCAGATTAAAGGATATTATTATTCTCTCAGAGCAATTGTAAGAATAGTAGTTGTATGTATATTCTGTTTTGATCTTTGCACATGTACACAAAACTGGTGTGTATATTGGTCAAAGTACTCATACCTACCTACATTGGTCCATATTCTTCAAATTATGGCCTTTTATTTGCAGATAAATGGATGGAATTGGAGAATATCATGCTAAGCAAAATAAACCAATCCCCAAATCCAAAGGCCAAACGTTTTCTCTGATATGTGGATGCTGATCCATAATGGGGGCGGGGGTGTGCAAGGGAAAAATGGAGGACCTTTGGGCAGAGGGGAGTGATGGGAGGGGAAGCGGTATGAGGAAGAAGTATGGTGAAATGAGTTGGACATTGTTGCCCCATGTACACGTATGATTTATTAGTGGTATGATTTTGTGTCATGTACAAGCAAAGACATGAAAAGTTTTGCTCCATTTGTGTACAACGAGTCTAACTGCATTCTACTGTCATGTATAACTAATTAGAACAAATAATTTAAAAAATGGCCTTTAAAATTGGGGATGAATCTTAGATTATAGAATGCTTGCCTTGCATGCACAAAGCCTTGAGTTCAGTCCCCATCAGTCCAGCAATATATGTGTGTATATGTGTGTGTGTGTGTATGTGTGTATACACACATATATATGATATATAAGATACAATAAATATATAAATATATTTATATATAATATACACAATATATATCAATATAATATATATATTTTGTTATCCTACTTTCCTGTCAGCTTAGCAAAACTATCACTGGCAATTTTATTACACTAGGAGTCTAAGCAAAATGTTTCTCAAAAAATTACATGAAGACGTTTGTTATTAATATGTCAATATCTATATATTGAATCTGTCATAGTCTATGACATTATTGGACTTCAGAGTAATGTTTCCCAAACTTGGTAATCCAACCAGGAAGGGCAGAATTTGACACAAGAAAACTGTGTTGTAAGGACTTGCAATAAATCTTATTTAGTGTCAGCATTTTGCTGCAGTATACAGCAAAATATTTTTGCCTATCCAATCAGCAAATAGTTTTAAAAACTTAGTGTTGTGTCGCTGTGCTATGGTGGACTAAGTATTATTTTACAATATTTGCATAAACTTTATGGAAGTAGAGTTTCCAGCATATTATTGTCTTAAAATGTTCATAAGTTTCCATTTCTAAAAATTTATTGAAGGGAAAATAACAGAGTGAGTCCACATTTTATGCACAGGAACATTTATTGCAGTATTATTTTTACACTAGTAAAAATATGGGTTAAAATTATCAATGATATGGAATACATAAGGTATATTTATTTTGTCCTGGGAAGTTGTTTGACCTTTGAATTCATGTATGTAGCTGCTTCTGTGAATAGTTATGCCAGATGAGAAAAC